TAAATCTCCACCATATGCAAAAATCAACTGAAAATGGATTAAAGACTTAAATGTAAGATCTGAAAATATTAGAAATCATTGAGGAAAGGCTTCAGGACATTAGTCTGTGCAAGAAGTTTTTGGGGTTAAGACCTCAAAAGCATGGGCAACAAAAGCAAAAACAGACTAATGGGATTGTATCAAGCTAAAAATCTTCTGCATGGTAAAGGAAACAATGAAGTGAAGAAACAACCTGTGGGATGGGAGAAGATTTGCAAACTATCCTTCTGACAAGAGATTAATAACCAGAATATATAAGGAACTCAAACAGCTCAATAGCAGAAAAACAATCTGAGTAAAAAATGGGCAAAAGACCTGAGTAGGCATAAAGACATACCAGTGGCCCACAGGTATACGAAAAAATGCTCAGCATCACTAATCATCAGGGAAATGCAAATCCAAACTACAATGAAATATCATCACACCGCAGTTTGAATGGCTTTTACCAAAAGACAAAAAATTACAAATGCTTTCGAAAGAGTGGAGAAAGGGGAATTCTTATATGCAGTTTGTGGGAATGTAAAGTAGTACAACTGTTATGGGAAGTAGTATGGAGGTTTCTCAAAAAAACTAAAAATAGAGCTAGCATATAATTCAGCAGTTTCACTGCTGAATATATGTCTAAAAGAAAGGAAATCGTTATTTCAAATGATACCTACGCTATGATGTTTACTGCAGCACTATTCACAATAGGCAAGATGTGGAATCAACCTGAGTGTCCATCATCAGGTGGATGGATAAAGAAATGTCCACCATTAGGTGGATGGATAAAGAAAATCCATCCATCAGGTGGATGGATAAAGAACAATGGAATATTATTCAGCCATAAAAAAGAACAAAATCCTGTTATTTGCAGCAACATGGAACTGAAGATCATTATATTAAGTGAAATAAACCAGGCACAGAAAGACAAGTATCACATGTTATCACTCAGATGTAGGAGCTAAAAAAGTGGATTTTATGGAAGTAGAGAGTAGAATGGTGGTTACCAGAGACTGGGAAGGGAAGAGGGGAATGAAGAGAAGTTGGTTAATGGGTACAAAAATACAGTTAGGTAGAAGGAGTAAGTTCTAGTATTTGATAGTAAAGTAGGGAAATTAAAGTTAACAATAATTTATTGTGTATTTCCAAATAGCTGGAAGATAATTATAATGGTTCCAACACAGAAAAGTTGGTGATGGATATCTCAGTTACCCTGATTTGATTATCACACATTGTATACGTGTATCAAAATAACCATATGTACTCCCAAAATAAGTATAATATCAATTTTAAAAAGATAATCTGAGCTGTAGTTAAATAATGTGGCTATGATATTATCCTGAATCAGTGGCACAGCTGGGAGTAAAATCGGGTCTGTTTCCATTCCAGAGTTTTTTTCGTTAGTCTTAGAAATAACTGCCAAAAATTGCTTTGAGACACTGACCTATAGCACTGGCCACAATTTCAAGCAGAAGCAATGTAAGTTAACATTTTAGAAACTGGCATTTCTGTAGCTCTGCAGATTGGGAAAGATACCTTTAAAAGGAATGGTGTATCTCTCTGTGTGCCCTCTGATGGAAGTGCTGTTTAGCAACAGCATGTGTAAAAGACCAGTGAGAGGCAGGTAATAAGGAACTAGATAATTCTTAAATGAGTAACTTTTTTACCATCAAGAATTTCTTACGTAACCAAAAATCACTTGTACTCCAAAAGCTACTGAAATTTTTAATGTTGAAAAACAATTCCTTATACATACAAATCCCTGTTTCTGTTTATCTCACCACCAAAATGTAAAAATATATTTTCGTAAGACTTATTAATTAAACATGTTCTACTTCATTCAACAGCATCCAACAAATCATTTGTTGAGTGCCTTTATACGAAGTGCTGGGGTTAAAGTGATGAGCAGAAGACTTATACTTTATTGAAATAAACAGTTGTTGAAGTAATAATCATACAAATAAGTTATAGTTATTTAAATGCTATGCATAAAATCTACTAAGGGATTAATAATCAGGGGCCAGGTGTGGTGGCTCATGCCTGTAATCTCAGCACTTTGAGAGGCCGAGGAATTCAGATCAGCCTATGCAACACAGCAGGACCCCGTCCCTATAAAAAAGGAAGAAAAAAAGGTTATATAGTAATGTTCAGAAAGGCTCACTTAAAGAGTTAAAGTTTTAGCTGAGATATGAAGGTTTAATGAAACAAAAAGGTGGAGGGATAGAGAAAAGGTGCTTATACTCAGCAAACAGCACGTACAGAGGCCCTGAAGAAGGACATAGTATGATCTGTCCTAAGAATTGAAAGACAACTAGAGTATTTGGAACAGAGAAAGCTAATAAAAAATGCAAATCCCAGTCATGAGAAGAGAAGTGAAGGTGTTTACTAAGTATCACCAAGGAAACCACAGCAAAAGGAGAAGTGAATCTCCCCCCAAAATAAACTGTGCTGTTAGAATTTTGTTTTAAAGATTCGTTGTCAAGAACACTACAATTTTTAATTTGCTAAGTAGAGTATTACTAAGATTTGGGCAGTTTTAATGTATTCTTTTTCATTTGATTTTTATTCCTTTCTATACTGACTTACTGGAAATTGAGGGATGACTTTGATGTGCTGAAGTGTTTAGATCAGTAATTTTCACTGTTGAACAGTCACAGAAAGAGAGAATCTTACCTTGTTTTCTTGGCTGGGGATTTTGTGTGGGTGTCTGAGGTGCAGCTGCACCATGAGTTTCTTGGCAGTCAGGACAGGGCACTTCTCAATGCAGTTCATCTTGAATAGGAAGAAACTGAAGAGTAAAAAGTCTACTTTGAATGCACTAAATTCAGGGGAAAACACCCAGGGCCTGAACCTTCCGCTGACATCCTGTTACTTGGTTAAATGGATACAGCAGCCTCAGACCTATGTCCAGGTTTTATGGTAGGAACACATGAAGGGGAGAACAGTGAAAGCTTTGTTTCAGTACAAAACTATCAGTTACCACATCTAGTTTTTAAATGTTTTTGGTTTTTGTTTGTGGTCTATTTAAGTTTTTTCTCTAAAGAACACTTAATAAAAAAGGCAGATTGATGGAAACCTAGCTTTGCTTGCAAGTGTGAATTCATATTTTTATGTAGCTTCTCAGAAGGATTTTTTCAGATTTATTTATATACAGATGGATTCCCAGATCTGCTTTTATTGCTCACGTTTTCTTCACTCTCCTTTGACCTCTTCTGTAGTCTATAAGCATCATGTTTTCCAAAACCCTCAAATTAAATGCAGACAGTATAGAACTTCTCATTTTTAAGCACACTTGCATCCTTCCCTTTGCATAAACTCATCGTTACCCTTCATAAGCAGAAACCTTTGAGCTGCATCCAGTGCTTAACTGCTTGTTTGTATCTTTACTGTTTTTTAGTATTACTACTTTCAGAGTAGTATAAAGTCTTGTTCTATGGACAGTGTCCCTGAGTTCAAATCCAGTCCTGCTACTTACTTTGTTGGTTTCATTAGTTTTTTTAGTTTTTAACTTCTAAAATAAAGATAAATATGTTAGAACCTCGTAAGTTTTTTTTAAGACGTAAGAGAATGCATACAAAGCACTTAATTTAAAATAAATACTCAGGAGAAGAGATGCTAGCTACCATTTTATTCTTGATTTAAGTCCAGTCTTCTAGAATCTATTAATAGCTGTCTTTCTGGTTGATGTCATTTAGTCTAAAGATCGTCTGTATGCTGATGACTTCCCACTAATACTTCTGTTCCTAACCTCACTTTTTCCTAAGCTCCAGACTTGCAGGTCTGACTGCTACTATATTATCTACACTTAAATGTCAGATGCATACTTCAAACATAACATGTCTTAAAACAACTTTTGATCTCTATCACCCGCCCCTGCTCGTTTACCCAATCTTTTCCTCCCCATTCTTTTCTATCTCAGTTAATGGTAGCACCCTTTGTACTTCTGGCTTTTGTTTAGCTACCAGCCCCTGTCCATTTAATCAGCACATCTTAATAGCATTATCCCCAGAATATATCCTGAATCTGACTCCTTGTTGTCATCTTATCTACTACCATCATAGTCTAAGACAATAATCCTTTCCTGTCCTAGGCAATTTTGTAATGAATGATCTTCTTATTTCTCTGTATTTCATGATAAGACTGGACCATTTTTAGTCTTACCTTGAACAATCCATTCTCTACATTGAAGAACAATATTCTAAAAAAAGATTATTCCCCTTCTTTTTATTGAAATTAGAAAACTATCTAGAGTTCTTGAAAGCCTTTCATGACCTAGCTCCTCTCTGACTTTCTGCTAGTCTCTCAAACCCTGCTAGTTCATTCCATCTGAAGGCTCTTTTTACTAGCCTTTTCCTCTCTTTGGGATATTTTTCATCCATATCTTCACAATGTGGCTCCTTGCAATTTTTAGGTCTCAGATGTCAACTCCTTAGAGAGACTTACCCTGACATCTTTCCTTCTTTTCTTAAGTTAATCACTATCTGAAATTTCCCTTCCTCTTCCTTCTTTCATAAAGTGCCCCTCCCCAAACCCAAAGGAATTTAATTTCCATACAAGAACTTTATCCATTTTATTCACTGCCATATGCCCAGTGCTTAGAATGGAATCTGGTATTCAGAATGTTTTCAGTATTACAATACTATATGGGTGGATGGCTAGATGTAAGAATGAACAAGTATGTATCTGGTAATTTTTCTACAACCAGAGAAATGATAGATTGTTTCATCCTTACAAACTTTGTATAGGTGTTTGTTTTAGAATTAATTATGCTAATCTTTGTCCTAATTGCTTTTATCTATCACTTCTGTTTTTGATTGTAAGGCTTTCTTCTCTCATAGAGTGCTGGATACAATTTTAGTACTTAATGTTAATTAAATTGAAAATGCAATCTAACATCTTTATAGTCTCTGAAATTATAGAATATGTATTTCTGAAAGCAGCTGTGTTTAAAATACGCATTCCCCTTTTATCTCCTGCAGTTCACAATTGGACCCTTGAAGACACTCTTCAGTGGTTGATAGAGTTTGTTGAACTACCCCAATATGAGAAGAATTTTAGAGACAACAATGTCAAAGGAACGACACTTCCCAGGTGAGTCTTTGTTATGCAAATGTATTTTCCTCTCAGGGAGAGTTATATGCTAGATGTCTTTTCCCATACTGAATCTACAAGTTACTTCCATGACTGAGGGCACAAAGGAAATATAAATGTATCCATTCTTTAATCTTTCTAAATTATACATTTTCAACTTTTAATCAGTTTTTCTTGTCTAAATAATCAGGCTCTTGAAAAAAATTATTTCCAAGGAACTTGATTTTGAGTTTCAGAAGGTGGGTCAACTATATTATTTGTAAATAACATCAAGGGTCAACTTTTGACCGATCTAAGAAAAACTTTTTTATTTGATACTGATTCATTGTTGTGAACACACCTACTTGAATGGATTAATGTGCATCTCTTTCTTGTGACATTTTAAATGACAATACCATTGAATTATGGTGTCTATACGTTATGCCTGAATTTTAAAAATGAAATTAATAAAAAATAGCAGCCATTTAAAAATGTATGTTACATACAAGTACTTTATATTATCTCATTTAACCCTCATGATTAAAATGAGCTATATATTGTCCTTCCCATTTTACAGGTTAAAAAAACCAAGTCAGAGACAAGTTAAACATTTCGCCCAAGGCAGCATTTAAACCCAGATAGATTTGATAGCAAAGTCCACGTTGCCAGTTTTTCCCTTAGATGTCTGAATCCAGTTGTTTTCTAAATTTTATTTTCTAAATTATATCTAAATTGTATCATTTGCAAATACCAAATGATGTAATTTAGAAATTATAATTTCTAATTAATTTAATTAACTTAATAATTTTGAAGGATTTAAATGTCAGAATTTGCAATTCTACCAGAATTTTTTACCCTTACAAGATTGCTTCTTAAGTTTTATTTTTCCCTGGATGATTTCCTACATCAAAAAAGACTAATCAGTTATTACAATCTGATCATTATATGTAATGAAATATATACATTGTGTCCCTAATCAACTTCCTTACATGCCCTATTTAGATATGTATCCTTTGTTGCTTTGAGTTTTGTATTTTGGATCAAGTTGAAAGTTTTCAAATCTCTCTTAAATGTATTCTGAACACCAACATGAGTATTTCTGATTTTATTATATACATGACTAGAATGATGAAATTATGGGGATAAGAGTCAATTCGGTAAGTACTTCCTGAATATCTTTTATGTTCATAGTACAACTAGATGTTCGAAAGAAGACAAAAATCAAATAAAATATAGTTCTTTTAATTAAAACAAGTTCTTAAAACAGAGTCAAACATTAAAATGAAATTAGAGTTTTTTAGTTTATATATGTTGCCCTGGGTATGAGGAACAATAGGAATTTCCTTGTTGCCTTTTGAGAAACTTCTTTATATAACAGCAACATGAAATAAAATAGGCTAATCTGTGTTTTGACAATCAATGTTATAGCTACTCATTTCTTTTGGTTAAGTAAAGATGATCAGAGATGCTTCCAATTCTGGTAAAATTGTGACATCACACACTTGTCAAGATAACTCCTTAAACAGTGAATGTGTTACTATAGAAAAACATTATAAGCTCAGTTTTCAGGTCAGCCCATTGGAACCTTTTTTTGGGGAGGAGAAAGGAAAACAATAAACTCTTTCTTAAGCCCCTGTTATGTAGTAATGGAAATTAGATGAGTCCACTTAAAGGAGCAATATCTATTAATTTCAATTATTATGTAAGTTCCAGAGCTCTTTGTATGGTATCTGTAGACATAAGAGCTAGTTAGAAGAATGTGTAAGAAAATGTATTATGTATTCTAGATAGTTGGCCTACAACAGTCCATTATGAAGTTTCTTTTCTGTGACGTTAAAACCCTTTACATCTGCTAAAGGTAGCCAGAACTATGTTTTTTGTTGACTATAGTGGTGATCTTAAACCTTTCACTGTGTTTTCTACTCTGTAATTGTTACTACCAAACATTATACTAAGACTCTCTTCACCCGACACATACCACCTCATTTCTTTCAGGCCTATGTGGCCTTCCCTGATACCCTCACCCACTCAGGTGGAATCATTTTTACCTCTGGACTCATATTGAATCTTGCATAAAATTTTGTTATGTATTTTCTTTTTTACTACATCTCGTTGTCTTTCTTAGTCTATTGATAGTTTGCTATTAATTCATGCATCCATCCATCCATCCATACATTCATTCAGCTATTATATAAACATTTATCAAGCTTCTACTTTTGGCAAGTACTACATTAGGCTTTGGGGATACAGAGGTAAGACATAGGCTTTGCCTTTGTGCAGTTTGATAAGTGTCATGTTAAAGGTGTAAGGGAAGCATTATAGGAAAGTACCTGTGAAGATAAAGGAAGGCATTTTAGAGAGGGAATGTTAGAGTTCTTTGCTCTTTAGGGTTTTATAGAAGCCTCATAGGAGTTCCTGTAATTTCTCCATACTTAGAGAGTACTGATACCTTTCTCTACAAAATGTAGTGTTTCAGAGTAGTCTTTGGAATTGTACGTATTTGGGTTTGAATCCTTGCCTTAACTATTACTAATTATGTAACCTTAGGCAAGTTACTCTCTCACAAGTATCTTCACCTATAAAATGGAAATACTATTATAAGGTTTTCTTGACTATGAAGCCATTGGTACAGGACCCAGCATATATTATATGGCTGTGTTTATTGTCGTTGTTATTATTAGATTTTCTGTAATGAAATCTTTACTAGCATCATACTTGGTTGTTAAGAAATCTTAGTTGAGTACTGGGCTGCTTGTATTTACAGTCCATAATAAAGTGATTTTATTTCCTTATTTTACCTGTGCCCCCTACATGCTTTCTTCATAGCTAATAAAATGGTTTAGTGCTTCTTATTATATAAATTCCTTTACCTACCTACCTCAATCCGTGAAGGCTTTTTAGTTCCCACTTGTGACTTCAATGTACTTTGTTCAATTTTTAAACAGTTTAAACATTCGAATGTTAAAGGTATAGATTTTTTGATACTTTTAAAGAAAATCAATATGATCTAAATTGAAAACTTTTTAAAAGTGTGCTGTAGATGTTAAATTAAGTTACTTATGGTTTTATTATCCTTTATGAAAGGATAATAAATGACAGAAGTAATTAATGATTATAAAACATTTTCAACTTTAGGCTGGGCACGGTGGCTCACGCCTGTAATCTCAGCACTTTGGGAGGCCAAGGTGGGTGGAACACGAGGTCAGGAGATCGAGACCATTCTGGCCAACATGGTGAAACCCCATCTCTACTAAACATACAAAAAGTTACCCAGGCATGGTGGCGGGTCCCTGTAGTCCCAACTCCTCGGGAGGCTGAGGCAGGAGAATCGCTTGAACCCGGGAGGCAGAGGTTGCAGAGAGCCGAGATCGAACCATTGCACTCCATCCTAGGTGACAGAGTGAGACTCTTGTCTCAAAAAAAAAAATTTTTTTTTCAACTTTATAAATTTCTAAATCATAGTAAGTCATAACAGAAAGTAACCTTAGAAAATAAAAACTTTTTCAGTGTAGCTACTAAATGATTAACATACAGGAGTCTTTCTGCAGCTAAGTTTGCTCTGAAGAGGTTTTTGAAACGTGTAACAAATTATTAAATCGCACATGGATGAGCTCCAAGTCATCATCAGTAATATGTAAAGTATTAAATGTGTTGCTCAAATATTTAAAGTTATGTACTAGAAATGTTTTCACTTAATATATATATATGTTTTTCAAATAGGATAGCAGTGCACGAACCTTCATTTATGATCTCCCAGTTGAAAATCAGTGACCGGAGTCACAGACAAAAACTTCAGCTCAAGGCATTGGATGTGGTTTTGTTTGGACCTCTAACACGTTAGTATTTTCTCTCACTCAGAGGATGATGTAAAATAATATCCTGATCATCTCTGTGTTATTTAAGGAAAGAAAAGATAGTAGGCCTCTAAGAAGAATCATCTATTCACTGTGAAAGAAGTATAATACTTTCTTAAAAGATTTATAGGATGGGATTTTCTGTCACTGAAACATGAGTGTGAAATTTTCAAAGCTGGTTACTAATGTAAGAAGTTATATATAAAAAAACTGTATTTAGCTGCTAATTTAGAATTTTTAGATTTAAAACTTTGGATCTTTGGAGGAGTTTTAATGTTGCTGTTACTATAATTGGATATTCACTGAGGAATCTCTTAAAAAATAATACAATCTAACCATCTTGATGGCATGAAGCAATAGAGCCTAACAGTTTCACTAAGTACTAAGAAAAGGGTTTTTTAGATATAGATGGAAAGCAAAGACTCACTTGAAGCTTTATAAATTAACGAACTATACTGGCAGGAGCAGGAAGTAGGCAATGTTATTTGATTGTTTTGAAGAGAAACATTTGAGAAAGTGTTATGCAATATCTGTAAAGAAAATAAACCTTGTATTTATTTACTTTGACAGGAATATTTTTTTCCCCAGAAGAGAAGTTTAATATGTTTGTTTTATTTAATTTCAAATTTTTCAAAAAGCTTTGGGAGAAAGTGTTTGAAAAGTACACCTTTTAAAGGAATTATTTTTTTAAGTCAAAAAAGAATAACAAAATTAATACAAGAAAAATGGCTTCCACAAGTTATAAAGTAGGAAACTAATGTTTATTCTCCCTGAATTCTTGGAGTTAGATTTTCAGGTTTCTATGATACCATCTTGGGAATGGCCCTTCTAAAAAAGGGTAACTAGAATTGGTTGAATAGATTTCATGACTTTACTGGTGGTTCTTTTTTGGCTTGGACTAAAAGAGCAGCTGGTGAAACAGCTGGAACTCCCCTTATGAGAGTTGGTGGAAATGCACTGTTGGTGGAAATTACAAACCCTAGGAAACAGAACACTACTGAAATGCCGAGCGTTCCATAGAGATGATGCCCTTTCCAACCTTTTCCTTGTCCTCACTTCCAGACTGAATCCATTGGGGGATTGTCTTCTGTGGGATTCTGTCCAATTTTTCTCATGTGAGTGGTTGGTAAAAATAGGAATTAAAGTATAGAATTTGTTTCTATTTACAACTTGATCAGGAATATTCATATTTTATTAATCTTGGAACTAACACCTTTCTAAGCCCCAAAAATTATATTACCAAGTCATTTGAAAAGAAATCAAACTAGTCGCAAAAAAGATTGTAAACAAATATTTAAGTAAACCATTTAAAAAGTTAATGATTTTAAATGTTTGTCTTAGAATGATTATTTGAGTGAATGTGCCCCATAGTGAGAACACTTATGTTAGATTTATTTTAAAAACCAACATTGTGAAATGAACAGAGATACATTTTAAAGGAGTTTTTTTTTTTTTTAAATCTTTTCCAGTCTAGTGCTTATTATTGAGTGTGGGACCTTATTTATCTATTTATTGTTATTTATGGTCAGAGAATAGGGCTCATAGTTGAAGGAGAACCTGAGTTGAACATCTCAGTGTGAGGCAGAAATAAAAAATGCTTTTGAGATTGTAGCTTTCAGCAGTACATTTCTTCCACTACAGGTGGAAGGGTGAGGGTGTGCACTCTGGCAATATGGAGAACTGAGAGTCTCTGATGTAGAGCATGCTACATATCATACTACGCAAACATAGCCAAACCCCAGACTTGTCAGCCTAGGAACTTGGGATTTCTGTAGAATTCTTTATGTCACCACACTTCAAAATATGTTTCTGCTGGAGGCCTGGCCATTTAGGCAGTTTTTCACTGTGAGCTGTATCTCTTTGGAGCATTACGATAATATATTAGCTATCATTGTGTCTCTGTTCCAGAGAGCCCCGTGAAAATTAGTGTGTACTGACTGGGCTGAATTAGGAAATTTGAATAGTGATTTCTGTGTTTTGTATCACCGAAGGCAGTAGGCCCTGGCTCCTCCCTTGTTGTTTTAGACATACGGCTGGGGGTTAGCATCATGCCAGTAACCCCTGTATCTCTGGCATATAGACACCTAAAATTGAATAATTGTTATTACTATTTAACCCAGGCTTTTATCAGCCTTAGCACTAGTCACTCTTTGGGCTGGATAGTTCCTGGATAAGTCTTTGTTATCAGCAGGGGGGACACAGGGAGGAGGTTGTCTTGTGCACTGTAGGATGTTCGGCAGTACTTCTGGCATCTGCCCACTAGATGCCAGTAACCACTCCTCCAAGTTGAGACAACCCAAAATTGTCAAATGTCTGCTAGGGGTGGGTGAGGAATTACCACCAGCCTTGAGAACCACTGATTAGCCTAACCTAATTAGTTATATGGCTACCTCCTTGGGGAAAATACATTTTGGTGAGTGATCAGGTTTGTAAGTGTGTCAAAAACGTGACAGCTGTCTGGCTTCACTGAAGGAAGGGAGTTGGGATGATGGTGGTGATACTTTTGATGGCTCCCTTCACCCCACAGAGGACCATTCTGGCAGCATATGATTGGAGGTGCGGTTGCGTTTTCAAGGGTCCCCATGACTTTGGCCACCCCGTCTACCACCAGCAGGGGCATGGTGTGTCCTTATGAGTTTACCTCTACCCTTCTATAAGTCTAGTATATCAAAGAGTTATAAGAAGCACAGTCATTATTTGAAGAAAGAATTTTTAAAAGGCTAGAGCTTGTGCATAGGAAAGAGATCTCCACTTTTTGGTTTTATTTTAGATACTACTTAAAAAGTGTCTTTTTGTATTGAGGTCCTGTCCTATTCAAAGATTAATTTAATCGTCTGTAATTCTCTTAATAGGCCCACCTCATAACTGGATGAAAGATTTTATCCTCACAGTTTCTATAGTAATTGGTGTTGGAGGGTGCTGGTTTGCTTATACGCAGAATAAGACATCAAAAGAACATGTTGCAAAAATGATGAAAGATTTAGAGAGCCTACAAACTGCAGAGCAAAGTCTAATGGACTTACAAGAGAGGTAAGTTCAGAAAAATCATAACTCATGTTATTTATGTAGGCAAATACAATTTGTAAAAAAAGTAATATGGGCATATGCTTAAACACTTATATTTAGGTTATTATACACATCAGGAATATATGCATATTTGATTTCACATTTTTTTAGAAAAGTATATTTTTATAATTACAGATTTATTATAAATGTGTGTACTTGAGAATAAATGACTAGAAGAACAGTGGAGGTAAGTCAAATATAGTGGGATTAGATGTGTAGCTAAGTTTTATTTTTAACTTGATTTAAATAATTATGAACTTTTAAAAAGCTTTTTGCGGAAGAGTATTTCCCTGTTTTCCCTGTCTTTTGAGCCCAGGATAACCAAAATAGCTGTATAGTAAGTTGCCTGATATTTTTATTAGCCAAACTTAGGGCTAATGAAAAATGCTATGATTTCTGATTGAAATATGTATTTAATTGCTTGACACAGTATTCATTATTTTGTAAAAAATAAAACTTTGGAAATTTTTGTGAGGAATTTTTATTTTTATTGTTCTATAAGGCTTGAAAAGGCACAGGAAGAAAACAGAAATGTTGCTGTAGAAAAGCAAAATTTAGAGCGCAAAATGATGGATGAAATCAATTACGCAAAGGAGGAGGCTTGTCGGCTGAGAGAGCTAAGGGAGGGAGCTGAATGTGAATTGAGTAGACGTCAGTATGCAGAACAGGAATTGGAACAGGTATTTACATTTAAAAAAGTCACTTGTAAAGATGTTAACATTGCCACTCTGAGGAGGCAGGTCCTGTTTTTCTTCAGTTTCCTACATTTAGTTCCATTGTCTACTGTTCCTCAGTTGATAAAAGAATCATTTATGTTGTTAGCATTGATCAAAGTTCATATAGCAAAATAACACAGTAACTGAAAGATAAAGTTGCCATCATGTTCACTCATTCATGAAATCTTATCTCTTGCCATGTTCATTGTCTTGAGTAAATTTAAGGTGTTTAACATCTGTAATATGTTTAAGTGTCTGACTGTAATGTAGTAAGATAAAGTATATCTAGGTTTGAACTTCTCTGCAAAGGTAAAGGATCTCTATTAAACATCCATTTGAATCCTGTTAAATAGTTTTAGAACATAATCTGCTAAAAATTCTGAAGTTCCTTTCCAATACCTGCTTCTCCTGTTCGGTTACTTAAGATAGAATATAGGCATTTAGGCATTGCACAGAGTCCTTTGGAGAGGGTGAGGTGCTGGGAGAATTTAATTATAGGCAGACGCATTCATTTCCTGTTCCTGCTGTTAAAAAAAAAAAAAAAAAGCTACAAACTTAGTGGTTTAAATAAACATAAATTTATCATCGTAAAGTTCTGGAGGTCAGAGTGAGTTGAGGCGAGCCTGCAGGACTGTGTTCCCTCTGCAGGCTGTAAGGGAGGATGTTCTTCCTTGCCTTCTCCACTGGTAAAGGCCACCCACGTTTCTCAGCTCATGGCCCCTTCCTCTGTCTTCAAAGTACGTCATTCCAGCCTCTACTTCTGTGGTCCCATCTCCTCCTTCTGACTTTGATGCTTTTGTTGCTGATAATGAAACTGAAGAACAAAATGAGGATTATAAAACTTGCTCAAAATTAGAGGTGACTCAGTTATAAAGCAGGGGCAAGAACTTAGGTATTCTGCCTCCACCTCATTTTATGCACTGTTGCTGCCTTCTTAATAGAGTGCTAAGAAAGAAATGCAAATTAAGTGATGAATGACTTAAGGTCAACTCAGGAGAAAATATGCACTGTGCATTACTGTTTCCTTCAAGATCGCCATTTTATGAGAATATGTCTGACTGAACGCAGCCATTTTTTTAATAACTGTTAACCACTCCTTCTCTGACACCCCTAGATGTCTGTGTTTTGGAGCTCTTCCCTCTAAGAACTCTTAGATGTATTTTACAGTCATGTCCCATTCACCTAACAAATCATAGCAGCACAGAATGTAATAAAGAATCAGGGAGTTGGCAAAAAAGACCTAGTCGAAATCATACTGTATCCGAGAATTGGGTACTATGCCCTTTACCCTCCTGCCTTTTTCCACCAAGACGTCCAACTCGCAGTTTGTTCTGGTATATTTCTGTCTTTCTAAACTTTGTACATAAGAAAGAGCGATTCAGAAAACAGTAGTTTGGAATTCTACAGAGATATAAACTGATGGTAGTACTTCACAGGTGATTGTCTCACAGTGAGGGAGAAAAGACAATATAAAAAAAGGGCCCAAGAATTATGGACATTCTAACTTAAAGCTTTGGGAGAGAGACCGTGCACATCTCAGTAGACTCTGAAGTTACCAAAATATGATGTATTGGTATGAATGTAATCTCACTAGATCCTGGGTCAATAAAAGGTGATTTAAAGGAAGGAAATTGGTATTTTAAAAAGAACACTGTCTGGCATGATTATATTAATAAGAAACACAATTTTCTGAGGGCTTACTCTGTACCAGAAGTGTATGCCACAAACATTGCCAGTGGTTTGCTCATAAATTTTAATCCTCACAGCACATAGATATTATCTTCATTTACAAATGAGCTGTGTAGGGAGGCTAGATAACTTATTTGCCTTGGGTTACACAGCTGTTAACTGGTAAAGGCAAGATTTTGCGTGTCATATTCCAAAGTCTGTGTCTTCTCATACTGCTATTAAAAGCCTTGCTTGTAGAAATAAGTTTAACTGAGAAATGATGTATAATATGACATAACCCACAATTCCACATAGTTCAGGGAATTACTGTATTTTGTCTGGAGAATAATCAACATAAATTTAGAAGTCAGGAAAATCCGGTAGGTTTTTTATATAGTGTTATTTTTCCTAGAACAGAGACTTTTGGGTGACTAAGTACCACTTTATATTTTGTGTGATTTAAATAGTTTTCACAAATTGGTTTCTTAGAAAAAGTCTCAGGAAGCCTTTAATCAGGGCAAATGAAATACCCCTATTCTCCATGAGACAATAAGCCTTAGGAACTTACTGAAGGTTACACAGATGATAAATAATACAGTTGGGTCTAAAAACCAAGTTTTCAGATATTTAGGCTGTTTTTGTGACATCATGTTTTTACTTACTGTTGTTTTATTCCTAAGATACAAAAATTATGTAAATAATTGTTACATTTTAAACAGTTATTTATTGTTTGCAAAAGCTGTTTATTATTCAATTTTTTCTGTGTTCATTCCCCTATAAACAACAATGTGATTTAAACTAAGGGTTGGGATTTAGATCAAATGAAACATTTATGAGTAATAGCAGAGAAAACAGTTAAATAGTTGCTACTATCAGAAGGTCAGACTTTCCACAAGTTTGAGTCATTATTTGGCAATCAGTCTAAACATTGTTCATCTTCAATTTATGCTAAAAAATATATAAGTAGTTTTTATGTTAAATGTGTTTGAGCTCTTTTAGGGGAAATACATTTATGGAAATATTAAGAAAAATCTATGATTAAAGAGCATAACTTGAATGAATTTTGTTGAGATTCTCTGTATAATTCCTTGGAAGTGAAAATTGTATAGAAATTTTAGCTTTAAAATCTTCTGAGAAAAAGGGCTTGTGTACATACATTTTGTGGTGTTATGCAGGTCTGCATGAACTGGAGCTTAAATTTTATCTTCCTGAGAGATTAGCAGGGACGCTGCACAGCTTACCCAACTGACTTGTTAAACACAGTATTGTCCCAAGCCATTGCAGTTATGTAGGCAGATATGTTGCCTGGGATTTGTTTTCAGTGAGTTAATGCTCTTCCCCTTACTTTAATGTGTTTTTGAATTGTTACCTAGTGTTGCATTGTGAATTTTGTTTTTAATTTTGGAATCTTAAAAGATATTTTTCTACACAATTCTTTGTTTTCACACTAACTGACAGCTGTTCCTTTTCTTTATCAGAAGTTTGTGTATAGTACTCTTGCTGGTTTATTCTGGCACACTATAAAGTTTATTCAAATAAGTTGGGTTTGTTCAGATCAAACATTCCTTTGCTCTTCAGTGTCCTTAGTTAGCTTTGGGGAAAATTAATCTGTGGAGTGGTGCTCGACACGCAGGATGCTCTGTAGTCGCTTGTCGCTTTGCCTCAAGGTCTTGAGTGTGAGTGAGTGTGCACAATTTCATAAATTACATCCTGTATCTTTACACATCTTTAGTTTGAAAACTCTTGCTAGTTTTTAAGTAAATCGTTCCAAGAATGAATCATCTATTCCTTCTGTGTCTTTCCTTAGTGAGGCTTTCCTTATGATACTTTTTCTTAGCGTTTATCAACTAACCACCACGCATTTTTGTTTTTTTCTGTTTATTTTCTGGCTCCATTAAATGGCAGGTGGAAGAAATACTATGACATCCTTATACTGAAGACTATGCATAGTTTCTCATGAAAAAATCAAGTGGATTCTCACTCAGAATCTGTTTCCTCACAATCTGTACATGCTCTGCAGATGTTCACTTAGCTACTTTCTGGTATATTCAAAGCAGGGAATTATGTAGCAGAAGTGGTAACACAGACAATAATAGGTAGATATACTTGGCAACAATAAGAAATAACTAGCCATAAAGAAGATGTCATGAAAAACTACAGAAAAATACAAGTTTTAAAAAATCAGTATATAGTGAAGGAGCTACAGTAGGGTCTTTTGGAAACATTCGGAGGAGGAGTAGAACGTGTATCCACCCAATTTTGGACACTTCTTTATATAATTCATAAATGAAATATGCATTATGGGAAAAATATGATCCGTTTTAGTTTGTATATATCCTTGATTATTTCCCCCTCAGTCTGGTTTTCATAACATACAAAACTAAATATTGTAACTTAAGATATAAATAAGCCCTCTCTACCCTCCTTGACTTCACAACTTTGCCTCGTGGATTTAAGATGCACTTGAAGCTCAGCCTTAATTTTAATGCTAGAAATCTATTGTATTTAGACTTTGCAGTTTAAAATGATGTTTACAAAGAGCGTAATTAAAATAGCTTTTTCTTTTAGTTTGGATACTAAAAAATATTTTAATCCTTCCTTCTTCCCTTTCTCCTTTCCTGCCTCTTTCCTTTCCTTCTTCTAGGTTCGCATGGCTCTGAAAAAGGCCGAAAAAGAATTTGAACTGAGAAGCAGCTGGTCTGTTCCAGATGCACTTCAGAAATGGCTTCAGTTAACACATGAAGTTGAAGTGCAATACTACAATATTAAAAGACAAAACGCTGAAATGCAGCTAGCTATTGCTAAAGATGAGGTACTCTCTTGTATTTCAAAGTTTACTAAATTTGTTTCTTAGGCTGCATTCTTAGAGGGATTACTCAACTGGGATACACAGATCTGAATAAAAGTTTTATTATTGCAGATTCCTTTTTCAAACTGGAACTTATTGTGTAAATAGACTTTAGTAATCATAAGCTTTAAATTAAAATTACTGCATTTGGATACTTTTCAAAGTGACCTTAGTGATTTAAACATTCTTTTTTTTTTTTTTATCATTATCATAAAAGTTTTATACAGAGCTTTTTTCCTTTAGGTTGCTGCTTCATATCTGATTCAGGTTAGTAGTTACTGGAAATTAATTTTGACACTTACATTGTGTGGAATGAGAATAAGTGTTAATCTGAATTCTAGCAAAAGAATTTAAAAGCTTAGTTCACTCACTAGCACCATTATAGTAGGATATAGTTAATGTTTTTGTTACTTTTAGTACAAGATTCGGGTCTTCCTGAACCATAGAAATAAGAGAAAAATTCTCCAGAATCAAGTTTTGAATTACATCGATTGGCTTAGGAAAGCACATTTTCTCCCTTATCTGTTTTCTTTTTTGGAATGCAGGGATATCTTGGCTAGTAATTCTCTACTGGTTTTATGATTGTTAATATATTAAAAACCAAAATAAACTTTATTATTTTATATATATAAAAATGTTTGTATTTTTTTCAAACCTAGCCTTATTTTATTCCTTTTCGGTTTCTAGGCAGAAAAAATTAAAAAGAAGAGAAGCACAGTCTTTGGGACTCTGCACGTTGCACACAGCTCCTCCCTAGATGAGGTAGACCACAAAATTCTGGAAGCAAAGTAAGAATGTTATTTTAGTTTTTATTTGCTTTATTGTTATCGTGTTGAAATGAGTAATTTATAAAAAAAATACATTTATCATTTAATTATATAATTACATAATTTATATTAGTTTTAAAAGTGAGTTATTTCTTCTTGAAATTAGTTAATTGCCACGGTCTGTTCATGTATTGCCTTCTTTCAGTGCCATATTAAAGACTTTTTGATGCAGTAAGTAATTTCTTTATTGGCTTTTCCAGGAAAGCTCTCTCTGAGTTGACAACTTGTTTACGAGAACGACTTTTTCGCTGGCAACAAATTGAGAAGATCTGTGGCTTTCAGATAGCCCATAACTCAGGACTCCCCAGCCTGACCTCTTCCCTTTATTCTGATCACAGCTGGGTGGTGATGCCCAGAGTCTCCATTCCACCCTATCCAATTGCTGGAGGAGTTGATGACTTAGATGAAGACACACCCCCAATAGTGTCACAATTTCCTGGTAAGTGGTGAGTTCAACAAAAAGTGTTGGTATAGGTTTTATAGTAATTTTCCCCTGTGTCCTTTTACGAATCATGTACTTTGAAATCTATGAGAAAAAATTTGGGTTATCCTTCATTTTCTCTTTCTTTTTGTTAGTAATTTAAATATTTACTATTTGAGAAAACCATGTGAAACGCAGGTATAAATACTTTTTGTATATTTATATCATATATTTATATACACTTTAATCCGAGTGCTTTATAAATTTGATTATTAAATGTTTATTTGAGCAACTGTTTCATATAACATTATATTAAGTGTTGAATATAAGACTTTTTTTTTTTTAAAACAATGCTTGTAATTAAATCGAGATGAGGAGTCACATAAAAACATAATTGACGGTAAAGATAGCACATGATAAATGCCAAATCAGTATGGGAATGAAGTGCTGAGCTTTTGGGGAAAATATCCTTTCAAATGGCCACTTAATGTATAGTAGAAATAAAAATTAGGGGAAGATCTTGGAAACAGGGATTTGAATCCTAGCTCTGCCACTAACTCACTCTAGGTATGTACTTGTATTATTTTGCTGGTTTTACTTCTCTGGTTTGATGGCAGACAGTTAATGCAAGGAGAGTGAGGCGGCACTCAGCTCTTAAAGGAGACAAGAAGAGTGGACAGATTGTAAATAGAGCGAAACTAGAAGTGTGTGACTGCATTCATTTCGCTTGCTCCATACTGTGAGGTCGTGATGGTTGCAAAGTTATGTCTAGATCTGGGCCAGCTCTGCAGTTTGAATATTGTCAGTTTGTATTTGTTTATTTGAATTATATGCCCTTAAGCTTGCCAAATGCAACACTGATTCATAAGTACATGCTTTTGTTTGAAAACTGTAGCTTTTAAAAGTTGAATTTCCTCCTTAAAATCCATGTTTAATATCTGAATTGTGCCTGAAGGTGCATTCTCTAGATTGACTAGTTTTTTTCTTTGCTTTTTAAAAACACTTTTTGGGGTAGGGGCAGAGGTGTTGGATATCCATATGTCTGTTAAAAGGAACAATTGTACTAAATGTGAATAATTATTCTAGTTGTAAGTGATTGTGTCATATAGGCAAATTTAAACTTTTAAATAAGAAAAAAGTACGAGAGTTGGTTATAAATTTAATGTTTTAGAAATGCTGTGATCAGGTCGTGCGCGGTGGCTCATGCCTGTAATCCCAGCACTTTTGGAGGCTGAGGAGTGGGGATCACTGAGTCAAGAGTTCAAGACCAGCTTGGCCAATGTGGTAAAACCCTGTCTCTACTAAAAATACAAAAATTAGCTGGGCGTGGTGGCATGTGCCTGTAATCTCAGCTAGTCAGGAGGCTGAGACAGGAGAATCGCTTGAACCCGGGAGGCAGAGGCTGCAGTGAACCAAGATTGTGCCACTGCACTCCAGCCTGTGCGACAGAGCGAGACTCCGTCTCAAAAAGAAATATGTGATCAAATTTATTATCTCTGAAAAATAACTCATGCCAAGGATTACAATTTGAGAGCTCTGCCTCCACCCAGTGGCACCACAGAGGTACTCCACTCTGCTTAGTTAGAAGAGCCTAATTTCTGGACCTGATAAATGGAAAACTCTCAGCAATGGAAGTCTAGGAAAGGACGAAGGCTCTTCATTTCTATACCCTCCTGAGCAGTTAAATTTTTTTTTTTTCTTTACCATGGATTTGTGTAAATTTTACAAGTTTGAAATGATGACAAGGAAACATGCCTGTAGTGTGTTAAGAACACAGTAAAAGATGGTAACAATATACATAGAATAATATTGTCTATGTTTAATTATATGGAAATATCAATGGTTAACTCTGTGTAGATGGGGAGTGGGTGATTGTTGTTTTCCTATTACTTTTTAAAATATCTTTTCCTATTACTTTTTAAATATCTGCTAAGTGCTTTCCTTGGTGAGAATGTGATAACAATTTATTTAAACTTTCTTATAAAGTCGTCCACACACACTTAAAGTGACTGAAAATAATATACCCACCCACCAAAAAGATAAATAGATTTCAACATTTTTCTTTATCTTTTTCTCTGAAATAAACTGTTACAAATACACCTAAACCACATTGCCTCCCTTTCCCCACTGTTTTGAAGTTGTGACTTATGCTAAAGCCTGTTGTACTTTCATTAGATACATATATATCCATAACATTATATACAATTGTTGCGTGTTTAGAAATGTATATAAATGTTATCAAAGTAGGTGTTATTTTACAACATTTTTTGCTCAAAAGTTACGTTTTAAAAATGTTTCATGTTTATGTATAGATGAATTAAAGTCACTGCTTAATGAGTTAACCATAACTTATATATTTATTTATTGTATTTAAAAATCCATAGTTTGTCCGTTTTTCTACTGGCATAGGTTCTTTCTACTTTCTTGGCCCTTGCAAACAATGTGCAACAAGCATCTTTACCTGTATTTCCTTGTGCATAACTTTGAGAGTTTCTCTGTGTGGACACCTAGAAATGGACTCCTGGGTCATTGGGAAGGCACCTTTTACTAGTCATTGCCAAGTTGCTTTCAAAATGGTTTACACTGTTTTATAAGAGTGCCTGTGTGCCTGTATCCTCATCAGTACTTGGAATAATCCAATTTTCTTGTTTTGCAACTCGAATGGGTATGAAATGATACCTCACAATTACTAAACTTTTTATTTCCTTGATGACTGTTGAGGTTGAGTGCCATTTCCTTTATTGGCATTTGTTGTTCAGATTTCTTCCTCTCTGAGTTGCTTGTTCTTGCTGTGGAGTCCTTGCAAGATTCGGTACTGATGTGGAAGTGTTCTTTTTTTTTTTTTTTTTCTGGTTATTTGAGGGTTGCAAATATCTTCCAGACTGTGGCTTTTTTAATGGCAAATTGTGAATCTAATTTGTGCTTTTTATGTCTTTTTCAGAAGATGATAGATTGTTGTTTGCACTCCTTAGAGTTTTTAAGTTTTTCTTTAATCCATTAGTCCTGTAATCCACCTAGAAGTTATTTTTGTTCATAGTGTGAAGTTGGAATCTAAATATATCTCTTGAGGTATGGGTAAACAGTTGTCTTAGCTTCATTCCTGTTCTATCCTTGCTGACTTATAATACCACTTCCCTCCATAGATACATAAGTGCTCCCAGCTTTCCCATTTTGTTTCACTGGCCCCGTTCTGCTTTAGTTTCTAGGGTTTTGTAAAAAGTATTGATATTTGATAAGACCAAGTCTTCCTTTATTATTCAAATTCAGAATTTCTACTCTTAACTAATCTTCTGAATTTTAAGATCAGCTTATGAAATTCCATGAAAGGCTCCATTGGGTTTAAAAAGTTTTTTTTTGAATTTGTGAATTTATATGCAGTGAATTATTAATAAATTCCATTTATCGAGATCTTTTATATCTTTAAATAAAATTGATAATTTTTTTTCTCTGTGCAGGTCTTGCTTTTTTTAAAAAAAAGATGAATTTCTAGGTACCTTAATAAATTTTTGGTAGTTATATACATTACCTTTCTTATAAAACTGTATTTCAGATTGCTTGTTGCTGATGAGGAAATGCCATTGGATTTGGTATGCTGAATACAGCATACCAAATACGGAAACATATATTTAAGTATTTTATGGTAGTCTTGGCTTTTTCATGTTAATACTAGTAAGTTTTTCCTCTCTGTTGCCCAAGCTAAGACCGCCAGTAAAACATTGAATGAAAGTGGTGACTGCTGGCAATAGGGATTGCCATTTCTGACTTTGAAGAGAATGCTGCCAGAATTTCACCAGGAAGTTTTTTTTTTATGTTTTTGGTAGATTACTTGTAAGTTAAGGAAAGTCATTTCTATTTTTGTTTTGCTAAGAATGTTTTTTTTTGGTTAATCAGTGGATATTAAATTTTACCAAATTATTTTTCTGCATAATTTGAGGTGATCGTTCATTTTTTATTCTGCTGAGTTTTTATCTGTTTAAGTAAATCCTTTAAATGTGAGTGAAACTATGTTTGTCACAATGTGCTATTTTTAGAATGAGTTGGATTTGGTTTGTTATTTAGGACTTTTGCATCTTTAATCACACATTGGATTAGCCAGTAATTTTTCTTCCTGACACTATCTTGGATTTTGGTATCAAGATTATATTAACATCATAAAATAAATCAAAGAGTAGTCCCCCTCTGCCCATATATGTGGTTTTGCTTTTCATGGTTTCTAGTTACTTGTGGTCAACTGTGGTTTGAAAATGGTGAGTAGAATACAATAAGATATTTCGAGGTGGGGGTGGTTGGAAACCACATTTACTTAACTTTTATTACAGTATGTTATTATCATTGTTCTTTTTATTATCAGTTATTGTTAATCTCTTGCTGTGCTTAATTTATAAACTAAACTCTATTATAGGTATGTATGCATAGTAAAAGCATAGTGTGTAGAGAGTTTGGGACTATCCACAGTTTCAGGCATCCACTGTGGTCTTAGAATGCATCTGCCAAGCATAAGGGGGAATACTATACTCCTTGTTCTTTCATTCCATTCTTTTCTGCTTTTAGAGAGAGGCAGCAATATAAAGTAGGGTTAAGATGTGGAATTCTGGAACAACACTGCTTGGGTTTGATTCTTTACTTCACCTTGTAGTAATTGTATTACCTTTTACTCAGGGCACTGAGTGGGAGGCACTTTCCTGAGTTTCAGCTTCCTTTTCTGTAAAATGTAGCCTACCTTGTGGAGATATGTTAAAATTTAAATTAAGTAATACCTGTAAGACACTTGGAACCAGCCCCTGGGCTACAATAATCACTCAGTAAATTGTATGATTTTTATTCTATACTTTGAAATAGTATAAGGTATGGATTATTTGTTCTTTGAGGATTTTGAATACATTGCCTATGAATTGACCTTGATGTATATATGTTTTGGCAAGGAACAGATTTTTAAACTGTAGTATTAATTTAATTTAATAATTAAAAGTGTAGATTTGTGAAGTTATATGTTTCTAGAATATTGTGTTTTATCTGAA